CAGCCCATGGACCACGACGACGAAAATAGCGCCTTATTTCACCATGATGAGAGGAGAGCTAATTTCATGACAACTTTTATTTCTATGTACAACAACACAGTAGTGCCATCACTGGAACTGAAGTAAAAGTATACAATACGCCCAGAAGTGAAGCAATAATCGAGAAAACCCCTAGATCTTGCTACCTTCTCTGGTCTTTAGCTTATTTCCCCGAGAACAAATCACGCCCTACCCGGGAAACAAATCCTGGAATGTCTGTACAATATCCCATTGAACAACGGTCACGGCACAATCAGTTACACTATTTTTAGCTAAACATTCATCTAGCTCTTCAACCTGATGTCTAAAACGATCTACAGAGCGACCATCACTAGGAGATCCGCCTGAGAAATTCCTGAATTTTCCCTAATCGGGATCTGGTACGATTTGATCGGTATCGTACATTGGAAAAGGGATGGCGTCGTTGCACTGGAGGAGGTTCCGGGAGTGTAGGGGTACTTCGGAGCTCGTCCTTGTCATCGTCGTTCTCTTCTCTTGAGCTGGACGAGTTTCTCCTCGGGCGCAGAATGTACACGCGAGTCCTGAAATGGATTCCTTTCACCCATGGGAAAGTTATCATTGATTCATTGAAAAAAAGATGAATCAAATGTGAAACGGTACAGTACGAAAAGCAATGACCTACCTTCTCTAAAGCTTCTAATCTCTCCCCAAGTGCTGGAACAAGCATTTTCGCAAGAGATGCTGTAGGATCGCTGTCAAGAGTGCTACGTACAGGATCGTTATTGATCAGCGATTCGCCGAATTTGAGTCTATGGAAGGTATCCAGAGCCTGAATAAGATTACATGTGTAGCGCTGCTCCTGCATCCAATGAACAGATTGCAAACCTCATCACAAGAAGCTGAGGATGAGCCGAGGCAAATCCGTTTCGCGGTCAGGAAGGCCTCCCTTGCCTCGGGACTCAGCTCACTTGGTTGCTCACTGTTCTTACTTTCGCTTTCGGTGAAGGACAGACCGCTTCCGGGATTCCCCAGTCATCTGTAGATGAAATGAAGAAACACTGAGTCAGAAGTAGGAGAATAAGTAGGAGCTCTTCAAAACTACAGTCCACGTTCATAGTGTGGGAGGGACGTGAAAGAAAGTGCGCTGTACATTAGCTCCGCTCTCCCCCATCCTTAAAACGAAGCGAGAGGAGGTGCCAACCATCGAGAAAGGCTTAGGCTTTCGCCATATCCGATCAGAGTGGACTATGCCATAGTGAATGAAGCCGCTAAGCACTATATAAGATTCAAAAATCACCTGAAAATTAAGCGGTTTACCAGCAAATGGCAAAGGGTAAGTTGATACCAGAAATTGTTTTTCGTCGATTCTCAGCATTTGCTGCCGCGCTCATCAGTTCGCTTTGCCCCTGATCGCGGACAAGCTGAAATGGAGCTCAAATAACTCCCGCATGTGCCACATGTACCCATATTCATATCATAGACTTCTAGCTTCTGGCTCCTTGGCGCCGGCGTGTTAGGTACAAGAAACACAGTCCACGCTGGTGGGTGTGGCGTGGAGCCAGGTTCTGCATTAGGCACGTCTGCTCATTGGCATGCCTTCCTGCATTCCAGAAGACTAGGAAGAGGCGAAGGGAGAAGAGGCCAGTCTCGCTGGAAGCCACAATATCGATACTGTTTCCGTCCCGTATACGATTAAGCATAGACTGAGTCTTTAAATTAACACTGACTAAAACATTCGTCTCAAACAAGTGAGTATCTTCCGAAAAGAAACTTCATTGATGGGAATCGTTTATATGCATTTTGAACTCACCGCTTCAAAGTCGGGAACCCTAAACTTCGACTGGAAAGTGTTGTCTGTATCACTGTAGTGAAAAATTCCTCTGGGATTGCTCGATGAATCCAATAGGGGAGGATCGCCTCCAGCTGAAATACCAAAGTTTATTTGAACCGAAATGTTACAACACTACAAGTCTCACTACGAATGCGAGCAGCCCATCATTTGGCGCCCCACTCCTTATGGTGAATGGCGCGGAGGAAGTATTGGATCACCAACAAAAGGCTTCTGTTAGGCTCGGCCAACGAATTAGTGTTGAAGTCGTGAGCGGAAATCCATACCTGAACGTCTTCCTTCCAACGGCGGTAAAGTATAAGGACTTTGACAACGAACAATGACTAAAAATTTATAGTGAAAATTTCCTAGAAAGGCAAATTTTAGAAACACTGACTTATCCGTGAACACAGTAGCGCAGTAATCAGACTGCTATAGAGCATTTACAGTACACAAGTCCCCATATCCTGTGCATAGGAGAGTGTGCTTGGCCGTCTCCTCAAATGTTGCTTCTGAAAACTTAGTGACAGGTTGAATAAACGATAGGAAACGTCTTAAATGGAGGAATTATGCGTTGCTATGTTGTGAACAGCCTTCATGCGCTACGGTGCAGGCTCCGATTGGCTGAACACCTTCTACGCATGCCACCACAACGAACCTATAAGCGGCCATGTAGTGATTTCTTCAGGAGCCATACCACTCAGCCACCACCACTTCCTCATGCAACAAATTAAGAAGCACATTCAACAACGATTCTCTGATCACGAATGATTCCAGGGACGAGACGAAGAAACTGCGAAAGATTGTCAATAATGGAAAGAATCATCGCCACACTGTGCACTTTGAAAACACGGGAGAAACTGAGTCTGCGAAAGTACAAATCTCTGTGAAAACCTGCTTTTAGTTCAATGATATGGTTCTGGGATGCTATGCAATTGCTTTCACACATGACCGTCCTTGAAAGTAATTTTCATGCTCGAGAAAAAAAAACGCATATTGATTTCTTTAATGATTATTCCCAGCCTTCAACGAGGTCATCTTCGATCAGGCTCTCTGAATTTTCTAAGCCCTCTGCAAACAACGGAATCAAGGTGACCCTTAGGGGTTATCGCCGCATTCTCGTTCAGTGAGCCTATTCGTTTGTTTGAGGGCAATCGCAAGCAAAAGATTGATTATTTTAAAACCACAGCCTTGTTGAGTACCCTAAAATCCCATAGATTAGAGCCGTCCATAGATAGAGCGCGTTTCGTGCTACGAGAATGAAATAAAATTTTAAAAATGTTTTTTCAAAATCATTTTTTACCGGTAAATTAAACCGCTCTTATCTATGGAATTTTACTGATCGAATGGGCTCTTCAAGTTCTATCCAGAGATCAAATTCCGGCATTTCTAGAGAGATTCCGGCAGAAATTCCGTTAAAATCGCTATTTTTCTATATGAATTGTTTATTAAGTGGGCGGGGTTTAGAGTTGAGGGGCGGAGCTTCTTCTAAACTTCTTCTCCGATTTTTATTTATCCATCATCAAGTTAGAGGGGTGACTGCATTCAATTTCAATTTCATTCCAATTCATTTTTCACCGGTAAATTAAACCGCTCTTATCTATGGGATTTTAGGGTATTGCCCACGCTCCACTTTATTTCGAAAAGTTTACAAGAGAAGCACTCAGGAATTGATTCAACTTAGCAGTAGTCAATGCAGATGCTTAAGGTAGCTGTCAG